GCAGCAGGGTGCAGGCCTACTTTCATGGTGGAACACAAACACGTTGTGAGATGCTGCTTGAGACTGCCAAGACTGCCGGGGTGCCTTTGGTACACCGAGGGCGTGCCGGCCTGTGCCAGGCCAGTGCTCCTATCACTCCACATGTTATGGACAGACAAGGTTTGAGTAGGGCACCCTCACCCTGCGCTTAATTTCTGCCCCCGGTGAGCCAGTGGGCCCCTCTGACCTTGTGCCAACACGTTGGTACACAGATGACCTAAAATTTGGGCATTAAGCCCAGGTCAAACCCTTGGGCAACATGCCCCCCTAAAGCCACACCCGCTACCACCAGAATTCTACTGCAAATTTCAAGAAATGCGCCTTCCGTAACCTTGGGCTTGCTCCCTCAGTCCCCAGTGGCTGTGGGTTCATAGTCCCCTGTGAACTTCCTCCCTCATCGTACCTGACGTTCAAAAGAAAACACATCTTCAGACACCCCCATCCTTCCCCCTCTCCCCGCTGCCCATCGTACTCCCTCCCTGCTCTGAATTCCTTTCCCATCACTTGATTTCCACGCCGTGCTCCCCACCCTCCTGCCGGTACCCGTTCATTGCAAGGGTCCGCTGAAGCCAAGGCTTCTGCCCTCCGTTCTCCCACCGCTTTCCGCCGGCAGCCCCTTCTTCACGCTGCTGCCTGGTACCCAGCCATGCAGAGGAGGACAGCACGTTGCCGAACAGTAGAAATCACACAGTATCACATCTTCGGTGTTTTAAACGCTTTTCCATTTTTGCAACAAGCACGTTTCAGGTTCAAAAACAGTACCTGTTTTGTTTTGTTTTTTTTCCAGGGTGATAAGTAACACAGCTTTTAAAATCAAAACGGAAAAAAGTATTAGTTATTGGAAATGTGAAAACGAAATGTGTATATAATGAATAAACTTCCCCATAGGAATGAGGCACTCGGTACAGATTCCCATTTCAACACACGGCCTTGTTATTTACCACATTAAAAGCAATTTGGTTTTCTGATGTTACAATAATTGCATGTTTACAAAGGCAGTATGGGTTGTGTGACACCCAGACACCTACCCTGTGCCGTTTATTCTATGGCGGGCTGAGACAGAGGGGTTATATCAGCAAGATCCTGCATCTCCCTCTCCCCCCCTGTATATTTTGTTAAGACTCCTTTAGGACGGCAACTGAATACCAGGCATATTCATTAGCCTGAGCAGACTGTTCCTTCTCAGCCTGCCCAAGAGAAAAACAGGCCAGTTTCATCCGTGTACATATATATCCCACTCAGAGCAAAACAGGCACATTTGGTTAGTGTAACAATTTTTTTTATTTCGGTTACTTTTTCACATATAACTTTATGTAAGCTACAAAAATCGTGAAATGCAGAAATGGTATTAAAACTGCAAACTTAAAAGTCTTGATAAAAAAAAAAAACAAACAGGTGTCTTTCCCTGCTAACAATGACCATTTAAAACGAACCACGTTTTGATGGATTCATTTAATAAACATACCACACACTTCTCAAAAATAAATAAAGAACAACATCAGAAAAACCATCAACAACATGAAGCATTTAGTTGTCTTTTTTTTCCTTTAAAGACAGAAATGAAATTTCTAGGCACAGTTTTAGGCATTATAGAGGACACAGAGGCAATAGGTTAGTGTGCACTGCTCTGTACAAAAATACAGTCTGAATAAATTACATTGCTAGCCATAAGATTAGACTTCACTTACCAGTCAGTTCATTGCATGTTTAATAATATACAGTTACATGCTAATCCATATATATCATTTATATTTCAAACACATAGGTCTCTCTATATTTGTTTTTAAAATTTACAAAAGCTAAACCAAGTTGTGCAAGAAATTCAGAAGAGGTGCTAGGTTCTTGTCAGCACCGGACGGTATACTTTAAGCTTAAAAAATACAAATAACTAGCCCTGCTTGCAAGTTTGCTATATATCTATATTTATTCATATATATTTGGAAGAAAAATAATGGATTTTTTGTGAAAGAATCAGCCTGCCAGTGAGATAAAGCCAAACAACTGAAATAATGGTGGCATGACACAAGCACAACGTACAAAATTATTAATTTGTCATACATACACTCGGACACAGACAGGTATCCTTTTTGTGGCTACGAAAAAAAAATCAGCATAACATTGTATTTACTTTTAGTTCAGTGCTGAAAAAGAGAACGCTTGCCAAAATGGGCAAGGGCTGGGGCGGGGGGGACGGGGAAAGAAACGGCAGTAGCAACGTAAGCTGAAGGTAGGTACCTAAACCCACATAGTAGATGCCGAAATGCAAAGGACCTGAGGAGTTTGAGAGGTGCGTCCTAACAGACTGCATTATCTTCAAGAGGAAAAGCAGGTCTTGAGATGGAAAAATAAGATCTCTGACTCAAATATGAAGGAAGAACCTTGTCTTTAGGCATTCACGTTTGTAAATTTTTGGCCTGAACACCTTTCATATTAAGAGCCGGGTGACTTTCAGAGCTCATGCCATTGATTTGCATATGCCTTAGGCCTGACAGTTGTTTTCACTCAAACTGTACATAAAGAAAAATCACTTGATAAATTAGTAGATACGATACGGGTTGGGCACTGTACCTTCTGTCAGCACAGGCGAAGTGCTGCGCAGTGTCAGCACCAACACACCGTTCTCCTGGAAAGGTGCAGAAATCTTCCCACAGTGGGCTCCTCTACGCTAACCTAATTCCCATGCCAACTAGAGTGTTCTCCATGCTGCTAAATAAAAGCAGAACTACACAGCTGTTCAGAAAGACACAGAGTCAACTATATACCGAATAGCTGCCTTAAGTCAGTCTCAGGAAAAAAGCAGCTACAAACACTCTCTGGTGCCTGTGAAACAAGCGGACATAATTTTTTCCTCCCACCCTTTCTGTTCTCCAGGCATCGCCATACAATCCCTTCCAAGTCAAGCTATCATTTTGCTCTGTCTAATCTAATTAATCACCACTGGTCCTGGAAAGACTGCTGATAGGGAATATTCTGCTCTGGCAGAAGATTTAACTCCAGAGAGCCCCAGAGTTTCATAAACCACCTCCGTAGGTCAGCAATACTTTCCCAACAACCTCCTAAAGGCAGCCCTGGGGTCCCACAGTCATTGCGGAGCCCCTGCGCCCCGCGGACGGCGGCACGAGCACTGGGGCCGTAGATGCGGTCTTCGCATTGAGCAACGCGGCAGTCTCCTCCGTGGAGCCAGCAAAGCCATGTGGATAGAGGTGGATGTGCGACCCCAGCACATCTGCTTTTGCAGACGCCCACATAGAATATATTTTAGATTTCGCCATTAAAAAAAATAGTTATTTTTAAAGATTAGAATTGTATAAAAATATGTTCACAATTAATTGAAAATATCCAAATAAGCAAATCGTCAACAAAAACAAAAGTGATGCGGATCAAACTCATGTAAAAGTTGTCCCTATTTTATCTTGGGTTTCATGTCACGTGTACAGTCTCTGGATGTTTTAGGTGGGAAACATACTAAGCAAGGAGTAATTAGATGTACATAACCGTCAGCCAGCCCATTATAAACCCAGCTTTTAAAAACAAGAGATTACCTCCTGCAGTGCTAATTTTTTAATATGGACATGATGGGGTGTAAGCTGTATTCTTATGATCAGAGACACTCACAACCTACCTAAGTTTTAAGAAATGGCAGTTTTTTCTTAGCAACAGCCTTAAAAAACAATTTTTAGTAAGTACTAGATTACACATGGAATAGCAAGTAGTTATTTCGTCCAGTTCTACCTTAACTTGATGTGAACTTTTAAGCATTTCCCATAACACAGAGTCTGTACGAAGGCATAAAGAGAAGACAAACCATTTTACGTTTATTTCGTAACAGCAGCCAAAATTGGGGGTAGCAATCCAAGACTCTCAAGAATGTGTACAAAGTTAGTATTATAACCACTGCATCACAGCTCATATTACATTTTTAAGATGAATCGTCTCTCTCCCTCTGCATTTATATTTGCATTATATATATTCATTTATACTAACAAATACCTTTCAAAAATATAACTGAACTTGTTCCATATGCATTCTTTTCACAAAGTTAAGTGGGTACTTAGGACAACTGCAATTCATTCATGCATTTTTAGATGCCTCGGGGACAGACGAGTCCTTCTCCTACTCCCCCTTATCTCCACCCTCCCAGAAAAATACTCAGAGCTGAGACAACTTCCAACTACACAGTCAGAAGCACATGTCTCCGGGTTTGGACCTCCTTCAACAATCTGCTACAGCTGGCACGGTGATGTCAATTACCAATTCATGAAATCCTGTGTGGTTGGTGGCCTGGGTTTTGGGAGTTTTTTTACCATTCTCCCAGAATACTGCTGAATGCAGATATTAGACAAGTCATTAACCAGTTACATTCACTGCCCTCAACAGAGTCACTTGCAACTAATTCCTTAAGAGCTTTTTTGAGCAAGTAACAAGGGGCCAACACAGCCTATTGTACAAGATGCCATTGCCTGCTTATCAGACATCTGAATCCTCTATGATACAGGGAAACTTCTAAATGGAGCCTATACCAGCTGCTCCCCTGAAGGCAATAGCAGATGCTGGCGTTGCATTCTCATTCCAACTAGTTTTCTCACAACGATCGCTGTCACGTAGATCCTTTTGCTTGTTGTCGGGAAAAATGAAGCTTACGTATCAGCAGCTTGCAGCATCTGCCTATGTAAGATCAACAATCCTAATGTTTGCAGTTCTTTTAAATGGTTGTAAAAGCTGGTTATAGTGTTCACACCCAAAAGGCAACGGCTATTTTGTCAACAGAGCAGACTGTTTGGTGCTCCACAAGTGTTCTAAAAAAACTGTGAGTTAGAAAAGATGGGGTAATCCTTCTGTTATTTTTCTTTTCATTAAACAATTCTAGTAATAGTCTTCATAGTTCTTAGGGTTCAGGCAATAAAGAATGGCACCCCCAAATGAAAATATAGTTGCACCCCAAGCCAGGCCATAGCCCCAGTTGAACTCATGGTATATTTTCAAGCTGACCGTTTCGATGAACTTGATTGGGTAAAGGACTAAGCTGCACACCTGAAGAACAACTGAAAGAGAAAAAAAAACACGTCGGAAGAGGTCTTAATTAATTTCCATGAAACAAGTAAAACATCACATAACTTAAATTCACATTTAAAATGCTCTTGATACATTTTTAGCTTATAAGTACTGCTCTTTTTGAAAAAAATATCACCTTCATTTCATCCACAGAGAACAGGGCAGTTCCTCCATATTCCCTCATTGGCGAACAAATGCTATTGCTATGGTATAACAAAGATCCTTCAGATGTCCACAAAATATACAGTGAAAGCAATCTCTTCCTAACTGTTTTCTGTCTCTCCTTTGTCTTTCAGTGTGCAGTCAGTTACTCCTTCCATAATAACAAAACTAAGACCACTTGTTCTATAGCTATTCTAAGTCAAAACAAGAAGCAAGAACAAAGAAATATTAAGAAATATAGCTCAGAATCAAATCATTTACTTAGCCTAGAAATAATTCATTGTAGTAGGTGATATTTATGTTCAGCAGAGACTCACTGAATTACGTATTTCATATGCGTTACTGTGTACTGTAATCAGAAATAATGATATTATTAGAGAGAATACCAAGGAATCTATGAAGTTTTATCAGTCACTAAACTTCCAACTGGCAAACCATTACCTTCTATTATGAATTTAAGGGGTGGGTCAGAAATGCTTTATGATGAAAAAAAAGCTAATGAAACTGATCAAATCCAAGGCAGGAAAAAAACATCATTACATTCTACAGCACTGTCTCTGAGAGCCAGATCTCCTGCAGCCTGATCCACACGTCTGCAGTGGAAATCAGCAAAGCTCTTAATTATTGTGTTACATCAAAAAAACCCCACATACAGTAACCTGAAAAGGAAAATACACAGATGAAGAACCCCAACTTCCCAAGAAGAATTCAGTTTCATCGGCATGCATTCTCTTTTAAATTCAGGTGTGCTGTTAATAGCATAATTGGGACGACCATTGCCAAGGGAAGTAGGTGAAAATGACACTTGGTTTGAAGACAAGAACAAGCTGTATGCTGTAGTGATTCTTCAGGCCTCTAGTTCTGCCACCCACAAAAGACTAAACAGCACAGGAAGGTACAAAACATCCGTTCTGCCCCTCAAATATACGATATGGCCTTATCGCAATGCTCCCCCCCAGCATTTAACACTAGCGGTTTTTAAAGACTTCAGCACATGACTGTCTCTGCAAGGTACCCCAGTGCCCTGGTTCCAGGCAGGGTGGGCACATCCACAAAGCTAAGCACACGCTTAAGTATTCGCAAGCCTGAGACATATGCCGGCGAAAGTTCAATGGTGTGCAAGGTAATGCCATAATAACTACTTTCTTTAACATTGACTGGGTAATTTTTTACAGTTTATTAGGTATCGTAAGAAGAACGAACACTTTTTAGAGAATTATTATAAAGCCAGTGCCAATATAAAATGCCAGTGGATAATAAAAAGGAAGACTCCTTTGGACTAGAGAAGCGCTTCTGAAATTACACTGAGAAATTACAGGAAAATAAAATAAAGTTAATTATATTTTCCTACCGCTTGAACATTTCACACACTCAAAATCTGTCATTTGCCTTTTCAGTCCCACGCGCACTCTTTAGTGTTGTCAAACTGCCACCTTTCACTAGCCTGGAGGCTAACACTCGCCTGGCCTCTGGATGGGGACTGGTATGGGGAAGTGATTTCCAGTGTTCATTACACGCGCTTGGTGATAACACTTCACAAAACACTCACTGAAAATTTCTCTTCCCTACCCCATCCACTTAGGCTACAGACTAGTCTTTGGACTCTTATTTGAGACTGGCAATCTGAATAACGTGTGGATAGTGGATTTTCTGATGTGGATCCCAAAATCCACAGGATATTTTTAATCCTGAAGTTATTGAAGTGTTACTTCGTGTTATTCCATTTTAATATCATTTTTGTCTGCCAGCTCACAAAATACTGCACAACACTGGAGAAATTTCGACAGAGTATGCTTAAGGGGAAGCACCCACTCTTATGAAAAGATTATGCATTCCAATTCTGTATAATGAGAGCATCATTACACCCAAAACCACCTGACCATATGCTCAGATTTCAGACACATCTTTAAGACCATTCAAAGTCAAATAGGATTTCCTAACTTGAATGGATATAAGCAAGTTCTTCAGTGGCTTCCTGAACGGAGGCTGAAGCATCTCTGTCAATTCAATACACAAACTGCTCTGTGTGTGTGTGTGTGTGTGTGAAGTGCCAACCAAGGAAGCTCTGCACCTTCCCTCAACCTAACACGAAGTATGCTGAATTTTAATCTACAGATTGGAGTTGTCAAAACAAAACAAAAAAGTGATTCCGTTGGAAGAGGAATATGTGGCTAACGGAGCAAAACCCACAACAGGTATTTTAGATATTTTTATAGTGAGGGTTCCTGCTTTTTCTACTACTGGTCCAGGTACACCATTGAAAAACTCAAAGGAAGTGCAGGCAGCAACTGGCCAGCAGAAACAGCCACAGTGCATAACGCTAAATTTGCACTATTTTTGCCTCCCGTCATTGTTGCCCCCTGTTGAGTCGGAAGGGACCTGGGTAGGCTAGAAACAACAGCTAGTGAAGTTATGAAAAATGACTAGTATGACTCAAAAAGATGGTAAAACCAATGCTTGCCACTACTGATCTGCTTCTGATGAATTTAAAGGAACTCCATGCTATGGAGTTGACCTGCTTATGGAAAGTGTATGTACTACCTTTCTTCAGAAGCACTAGTCTTTTCCTGTAGAAAAAAACTGCTGCAAAATAAATGTTTAAAAAAGAAATTCCCTTTCAAAACACTACTCAAAAAAGACTAGTCATCTCAAACTAGACTATTCACTTCAAGTTTAGACCCATTTTCATGACTAGCTCTATGATAGCTGCAAGACAATTGCACAGGAACGGGAATACTAGTTTTGCTCCATTTACATGAAATATATGCCATTACATGTACTCACCATACAAAGCATGCAAAAATCACAACAAACACTTTAAAACTAGGGAAATATAATCTTTTTTTCCTTGTTCAAACGTTTGAGTATAACAGTTTTGCTGCCCAAACCCCCTTATAATGTGGCTTTCTAATTAGTCTGTATTTATGAAATAGTGGTGCTGACTAGTAAGTTCTGTATTCTGTTCTCTACACCATTCCTCCTGCTCATTCACATGAGTAAAGCATTTCATGAATAACCAATAGGTGTTGCAGTTTCGGAGATTAACACACATGCAACTGCGATCTACCAAGTTGTTCGTACTTGATACACACTCTGCAATTATTTGGGAAGCAGCATGAAGAGAAAGGGGGTCCATGCTGATTTTTAAAATATTGCAATAGGCTACCCTGACACACAGGAAGACCAGTAATTTCAGTACGGTG